TTGAGTATAGATTCATTAGTTAATAAGAATACAATTAGATTTTTTGAAATTGTAAAAATAGATCGTAGTTTTCTCGATGAGGATCCAACCAGATGGGAGACACGAGACGATTTTTCTAGAGCCTTGAAAATCGTCAAATCTCTTCATGTAACAAATGATATCGTTGAAAGGAGTGTAGCTCTCGTAAGTGAATATGATGATTTGCTTACAAGAGATGAAACAAGTAAACAAAATCTAATCTTAGTTGTACAAAAGTTCCGAGAATCATCATCGGGTTGTGATAAGGAACATTTGGAATTTTCATTGACAAAATATTTGAATGATAGACCCATGGAAACTTCAGGTGATACGGATTGAAATTTAGTCTTAGCACTGATTATTATGTATTGATTTCTCGTTATATTTATCATAAAATTGTCAAATAAATGATAAAACTGCTAAACATTGAGTAAATGATTAGCCAAATGTAATTTTCATTACTAGTGCATAAAGTAACTTTTTATGCACGACTGCGGGCGTAAATTCGTGACTTCGAGCACTCGTTGATGACTAATATTGTTCGATAGAGCTAAAATATGTTTTGTTAAAAAAAAAACTTAAAAAAACACTTCACGCACTAGTATCGAAAAGTACTACACCTTTGCACTTTCCATTTCCTTCGATATGTTTTTTGCATGAGAATTATTGTCCTTCCTCAATCGCGATTCAATAATTTGATTCTCACTTGAATTGAAATTTAATATTGAATTCCAAATGAGCAATTCCAGAAATTCGAGTACCTTCACTTTAAATTGAGATATTTTTTTCAATCGAGCTGTATTGGAATTGTCATTGAATGCAGAAAATCAAGATGAAAATTTAGCATTGAAATTACGACTAAATAGAAAAATTTAACATTAGAAATAAAAAGGTAGACTACGATATACTGAGGGTAATAAAACATTTGGTCCCTTTTGAGAAGAGGTCTAGCCAGTTGGCTGACCCTCTCCGTTTAAGGTATATGGCCTTCATGATGAGGCCGGATAATCCGTACACTTGTCACTTTTCAGAAATGGACGAATTTTCTTTTGCATTTTTGTTCCATTCAGAATACGACAACATAAATACCAATTTCTAAGATGACGAAAAGTCAATTGAAAAATCATTTGATGAGTTTCGAAATAAATTCGTTAATAGTAGAACGCTACCAGATGTGTCTCAAAACCCGTCATTTAAGCAAAAATCCTACTTGTTAATTCAGTGAAAAATGAGTTCAAAATCGCGATAGCTTATCTATTCTGTTCTTCAAGACTCTGGGAATAGCATTTAGAACATATTAGCGTGAATGTGAGTATTTACTCACTCAAATGTCGAATTTTTGTTTCATCCATTATAGGGATAACCGTATAAGAATTTTGAAAATCTTATGCTACCTGCAATAGTGTCCTGAAAAATCTGAAAAAATTCTATTGTTTCTTCATCTATTGAACAATCGATTTCATATACTCCTGTACTAAAATTAAAAAATTGCGATAATGCAGGGGGGACTAATGTTCATCCCCCCCCCCCTCTCCCTCATAGAGAAAATCTTGGAAAAAAAATGTAAATGTAGATTTCGGCGATTTCACCATTTTTACCGGATTTGATTTTTTTTTTTAATTCGGAAAATTTCCACTTGGCATGGTATTTGGTACGTGTTCGCTCTTATGAAGGTCAATCGAGAAACAATCGAGCGGGAAGTCCCTTTTTTTATTGATAATTACACACAATCCTGTGCATTCTTCAATCCACTTCACCAATACATTGCTACCTCTTGGTTTGCCCAGAATAGCACAGTATTACATCTTCAGAAACATAATGTAATTGATTCTATCAAATTCCGTTGCATTGTTCCCCCGTAATCAAACGGAATATTGATCAGAATAATTCTCCAGACCTGAACAATCGACTGCTAGGGCCAGTAAATTGCGGGCATAGGGCCTCCCCAGGAGCTACTGTCGAGTGGCCGAAATACGCCACGCCCCCATCTGCCTCCCAATAGTATGAAAACGAGGATCCCGCAATTTGATTGGATTTCCAATGAAAACATGTATATTCGCCGCTGAGAAAAATTAATTTCTCGACTGCTGCCAATTGAACGATCTTCTGATCGGAATTCTCTCATTTTTTTATTTATTTTTGGGGAAAAATGAACCGCAAGTTTACAGGTTTCATCAATATTGAAACTGAATCCGTAACTTTCATGAATTATCTCTACAAATGCATGATTACTGTGTGGTTTCTTCAGAGTAACGCAGTATTACATCGACTAACACATCATAAAATTGATGTCATTATTCTTCATTACATCATTTCTACATGATTGAGTGGAATATTCACAAGCGTAATTCCCCGAATCTGCAATATGAAAAGAGGTATGGAATTTTATGGACAGTTTATTGATGAATACCTAGATAATAATACCGAAAGTGATGAAAGTACAGGAAAAATATGAAATTTCAGATTACACTGAGAATTCAATGAATTTTTATGACTTCGAGTAGCACGAAAATGACGATTCCTCAATTTATTTGGATTTTTAATGAAAACCTAAATGTTGAGTGCACTGAGCTTCAAGGAAATTGAAATTTCGGGATAGTTTTTGTCTGAATTTTTCTATCTTTACTTCTTGAATTATTCAAAACAGTACAGTATTGCATCGACTGAAGCCTCGGGCAACCAATTTTACGATCTTTCACGGAATTGTTTCTACGTAATTGAGCCAAATGTTGATATGAGAAGGGACCTGGAATTACATGAACATCGACTCTTCCAGGGATATAAGGAGAAAGAAATCACCGCATCTCAGGTTTCACAGAGAATTCAATTAATTGTCACAGTTGCCAGTAGTATGAAAATGATGATTTTTCTATTCATTGAGATTTTCAATTGAAAAGTACATGCTCAGTATCAGATATTTTCATTAGAATTTTATTTCATTTTTCCATCACTTTTCATAGACCGATCAAACTAAATGTGACAGTTCTCATTGATATCCTCACAAAACTCTAAATTAACCTAACTCTTCCTCTCATGAATACATTGCTCTTTTGTTGTGCCTCCAGGATAGTGTAGTTTCACATCGATGGGAACATCATAAAAGTGACTCTATCAATTTTCACTGCATTGTTCCCACTTAATCTAACGGAATATTGATAAAAGCAATCCTGCAGATCTGCACTGTGAGAAAACGATTCCAATTTTATGGTCAGTTGATTTGTTATTTCTTGGAAAATGATGCTAATATCGATGAAGGAAGAGAAGAATCATGGCATGTCATATTCACCTGAAAATTCAACGAATTTTTACCCTCTCCAGGGGCCTGAAGACGAAGATTACTCAATTGATTGGAATTTTTGATGAAAACTCAGATATCTAGCGTTTTCATTACAAATGCACTGTTTTTTCTTGGTTTGTTCAGAGTAGCACATTACAGCATCGGCAGAGACAGCATAAAAGTGATTCTAGCAATTTCCATTTTATTATTCCCACGTAATCAAGCAGAATATTGATGCGAGTAATTCGCCAACTCTGAAATATTCTAGATAATTGCAAATGAAAAACCATTCCCATTGGAATAGTTTGCCAATTTTTTTTGACAAATACACTTCTACATTTCGACTTCTTCAGAATATCACAGTATTATACCTACAGAAACACCATAAAATTAACTTGATCAATTTTTCATTGCATCATTCCCATGTAACGAAATGATCCTACGTATATGCAGTGTTCTGCTCTGCACTGTGGGAAGAGGAATGAGTATAGTGCAGTATAACATCGATGGGAACATCATAAAAGTGACTCTATCAATTTTCATTCCATTGTTCCCACGTAATCTAACGAAATACCAATGATAGTCAATGATCGAACAGAAATTCATAGTTTTCATTGATAATTTAGAAAACATTGTCAATTTTGACCAAACTCTTTGAGAAATACACCGCTATGTTACAGTTTGATCAGAGAGGTATAGTGTTACATCTAGTGAAGCATCATGAAATTGATCCTATCAATCTTTATTAGGATCATCGGTGGCCAATTTGGGTACTAATGGCCCCAGGGAACAGCGTATCTTCCAATATGGCGGCCTTCTCGATCTAGAAAACATGACCTTTTGTAAACAAACCGAGCGTATGTACCCAGAAAATTCAAGGATAATTGCAAAGAAATAATCAGCAAAAAATGTACGTTTGCTCTTTCCCTCATTGCAAAAACAAATCTAGATTCAAGATCCCTTGTGGAAAGAGTTACCCAGAAATCCACAAGAAGTGGTTGGATTTTATTGGTATTGATAAAGTAAACCCTACATCGCGAAAACGGTTTATTCAAGGCACACTTTACTCCAGATCAATTTATAATTGAAAGTGAAAATACAGGTAAGCATCTTCCCTATATTGTTTCACTAAGTACAGAACAGGTAGGAATAAATGTCATTATATTTCAGGAAAAAAATTAACGATAACGAAATTGAAAACAAATGCTGTTCCGACAATTACAATTGTTGTACAACTGGATGAGGAAATATCAGGTTCGTCAACTCGAGAGAAAAAATAATAAAATCATGTATTTTACATTCTTATTGAATTTTATGTGTTTCCAATAGGAGAAGAAATCACTCTACTTCACTGTTCGACTCCTGATGACTCTCTTTTCTTCCCTGCTAGTCCTGGGAAACGCAGGTGGTCAAAGTGCTTTGAACAGGATCGTATCTCTGATCAAATTTTAAAAAAATGTGGAAGTATTCGAGTGCAAGAGCTTGGTGATGAAGAATCTGATGACACATGTAAAGATACAGAGGAAATGGAGTTGCTAGGAGGAAAGAATGCCGTTCAAAGTACCAAAGCTGATGAATATGGGTTTTTTGTGGTGGCCAGGACAATGGAAGTATCTGTCCACAAACTATGGTCCAAAAAAAGAGATACAAAGCCAGGAGATGCAGACTGAACTAATGGGGAGTGGAATAACAGAAACAAACAGAATTGAAACGCTTTCAGGATCGCTCTTCGATATAATATTCAAGATCTTCGAAATAATGACAAAGCAATTTTGCATTTTACAGGGCTTCAGAATTATTTCAAATTTGAATTTGTATTAGCTTCACTGAGTCCAGAAGCTTTTTTTGATGTTTACCTCACGCAATTTTAAACAACAAATTGACTTAATTCAGATGAACAAACACTTCGTTGCTCCAACCTCCATATAAGTTGTTATTCATACTTTTCCCTCAAAAATGAAGCAACGCTGGTGTCATCTGCCCTGAGCTTTGCACGATGATCCTAATTCCGTTGCTCCCACATCATGAAGCAAAATATTCGTACGAGCAATTAGCTGGATCTGCTGTTGAAAGAGAAATGCTACCATTATGGATTGTTCATTAGTAATTTTCAGGGGTAACACCTCTCCTTATTACGGGATAGTGATGTTATTGGACAATTCATCATTAATTTTCATTATGGGGACATGCCATTATTGATAATTTGTTATAGGGACAATTCATCATTGGGACAATTTATTATGTGGACATTTCATCATTTTTCGTTTGTCGTTTTTCCTTTTTTTGCTAAATATAATTATTCTTCTTTATTTTTAGTATCTTTTTATGTTGTAGACCTCCCTATCATTGGCGTTATTCTCATTGTTGTGGCAACGTAAAATTAGTAGTAATCATGATTTTTAATATGAACAGTTATTTGTTTTTTTTTATTTATTATTTGAAGGCACTTGATCGATCATTGAATGAGTATTTTAACAATAAGTATTATAAGTTCAATTTTTTTGTAGACATTTGATGACTGATTTTTAATTTTTTTTATTTCATTCCATTTGTACACAATTTGGAGTCTCTTATACGCTCTCTATACTTTCCGTTCGAACTTCCATTTTTCCCCCTCTCTTATCAGTACTTATTTCCCTTTTCCCCCTCTTCCCCCTCCATTAGTCTATAATTTAGAATCTCTTTTTCGCTCCTTATTGAATTGTCCGTGTGATGAAATGTTCGCGTGATGAATTGTCCACATGCTGAATTTGTCGGACGATGAGATGAGCTGTGATGAATTGTCCTGTAATAAAATGGAATGATGAATTGTCCATTGTTAAAGAGAGGTAGATTCATTTTCAGGATAGTGACGATATGAATCATAGAGGAGAAAAAATAATCATGAATTTTCAATAAATTTAGGCAAATCTCAGTACTATGAATTCAAAAAATTCTCAATCCATTTCGATTTTCAATGGACTACGCCAAGAGAAATAACAGAAAAGTGACCGTATGAATTTCGATTGCATTGTTCCCACGTAATCTAGTCGAACATAGATACAAGTAATCTTTCAGATCTGCAATGTGAGAATGGGAATCGAATTTTATAGACCGTAACTCTCAAAGCGATGTAAGGAGAAAAAGATTCCTCATTCCAATGAGAATTGAATGAATTCAATGAAAACATAAATATTCAATGCAATCAGTTGCACTCAATTTTCCATCTTATTTTTTTTTCTTTTTCATAAATTTTCAGGAACAAATGAAGCCGGAATTCTTAATCTCTCTCAAATCCTATGGGCAGTTGATCTATCCCCAGAACAATTACGCTAACAACCATGTAGGGGAAAAATCCATGACATTTCGGATTTCACTAAGAAATCAATGAATTATTACTCTTCCTAGTATCATAAAGGTGAAGTTTGATCTATTGATTTGAATTTTCAACGGAAACATGAATATCTACTACCGAATTGCTCTACGTTCACCCATAGTTGAACATTACCACACATGTTTATCGAAGTTATTCATTTTTTTGAATTATTTTTCGCGAATAATTACACACGAATTCACAGTTCCTATTGCTTTATACATGACATTGTGGATTTCCATAGAACTTCGGTTTGTGGTTGTTCAGAGTAGCACATTCCGACATAAACCGAAATATTATAAAATTTAATCTATCGATTTCCATTGCATCGTTCCCGCGTAATCAAGCAGGTTACTGATACGAGTACTTCTCGAGATCTTCAGATCTCCCCTTTTTATCGCAATTTCCATTTTCATTCATGAGTTCATTATCAACTCTCTGAACAGTGACACTAAAAGTGATTTGATTCCTACAAATACCTCTTTAAGGAAGACGTCATACAATTCCATCTATTAATTTCGATTGCATTGTCCCAGTGTCAACGAGGATAATTATGATACAGGTTTCTCCGGTTCCAAATTCTCTCCATCTCCACTGTCGAGGTTCTAGGGTGAAATGCTTCGAATTAATCAATCCACAATAAAATTTGAGAATAATATCTAAACTTTAGTTTTGCAATCTGTAGGAGCAGATTCTACTGGTCATTCCGTCGAATTTGAGATTCAATAAAAATTTCATATTTTGATTAGATGAAAATTTCACACGTGTATCAAGTATGATAAACCGCAAGTCCAAACTTAGCCTCTAGAACCACTTCACAACACAGAAATAAAATGATCAACTCGATTTTCAGTCTTACTTCATGGTTAGGTATTTCAATTTCTATTCCAGAAAATGCAAAATTTCAACCTGTTGCCATGTGAATGCCTAAAGGAGGTTAGGCGGTGTTTGAGGTGAATTTGAGAGTGAATTTCTGTGGTTCCCGGTAGCTTAGTCGGTAAGAGTGCCCGGCGCGTATCTGGGAGACCCGGGTTCAATTTCCGGCTGGGTGAAGCGGAAATTTTTTCTCTCTAAATTCTAATTCTCTTAGAATGTGAATGACGTGGTGCCGTCCCACACTGACGCGCATGATCTCCTACATTTCCTTGCTCACACAGCACTCAACACTCAGCTCATTCCGTCTTCTGAGATAGTTTATAAGACTGACATTACTATCCAATCATCATAGTCTCCCATCTCACATTCTCTCATAACCCCCGACTCTATTCTCGAAATAAAAAATTCCCTAGCACACCGTTAACTCACTTCACATAATTTGCGACGTTGCCATATGTTTCTCCACCATTTTGAACCAACTTCGAGTCACACATTCCTCATTGCTCATTGGCTAAACTTAAACTTTCAATATTAAAAAATTCGTTAAAAAAATTTTTTTTCCTATTTTTCCCTCATTCTATGATTTTTTTTGGACCGAGAGGTAAGAGAGAAAAAGGTAATTCCCAAACACCCTGTATATATATTGTGACGTAATTTCCAAGGTTCACGGAACCCCTCGGTCCAATACGCAGCCCTCTGGCACTCACGTAGAAACTAAAACGACAAAAAGTTGAGCGCCAGATCGTTTTTACCAGAACGACCACTGGAACGAAAGAAACAAAATCAAACTAGCCGTAAGCTCGAAACGGTCTCCCACTAGCTCCAGACGAAGAGACGTGTATCGGTTCCTGAAAGAGCTTAGACTAGAGATGTGACTAGGTGAAGAAAACAAATAAATTAAACTCAGAATTGCGGGGGAAAAATTACAATATTTAATCAGAATTAAATGACTCGATACAAATAAAACAAATCAATTTCTTTGGAAAACCCCCTTTGGTTGTTTCGATCGATCGACGATCATGAGGCTTCGATAGTTACTGATTCTACAATTGTCCAAGGAATAAAAGATTCTGATAGGAAAATAAAGAAGTAATATACTTACTCGATTTAGTCAAAAACAAAACAAAAATTCCGATAGTTAAATTGAAAGATCTAACCACCCCAAAAGTCAAGAATAACCAATGTCAAAAAGAAAAAAAGAAAACCAGAATCGAAATGTCGTCAACAATAATCATGTAGATTGAACANGAGCTTCACGTGACTCGGTAGATACTCCAGGTTCTATCGAATTCAAATGGGAATTGACGTTCATGCCAATCATCCCTCGTAGTCCAACAAGTTCTCCAATCGTTGAGCGTGTGATTTCGTACAAAATTCAAATACAAACAAAATAATCAGTCATACAAAATTAACTCTAAAAAAAATGACTCTCGTTGAATGGTAGGTTTGACTTCAAGNATGTAGATTGAACAACACTGAACGATCGAAACCCAAGAATTTATCTACGTGACAAGTAAGCTGGCTGTCCGAAACAAATACGAAGACTCAAGACAACGGCCAGCGAAACGAAGCAAGGTCACGAGACACACAGTAACCCACGTTCAATGTCCTTCGAAATTATCCAAGTTAAATACCATCCAACGAGAGTCCAATNTAGTCCAACAAGTTCTCCAATCGTTGAGCGTGTGATTTCGTACAAAATTCAAATACAAACAAAATAATCAGTCATACAAAATTAACTCTAAAAAAAATGACTCTCGTTGAATGGTAGGTTTGACTTCAAGNAAATACGAAGACTCAAGACAACGGCCAGCGAAACGAAGCAAGGTCACGAGACACACAGTAACCCACGTTCAATGTCCTTCGAAATTATCCAAGTTAAATACCATCCAACGAGAGTCCAATCGTAACCGAAATTAAATACTTCAAAATCTCCAACGTTACGAAACCTCAATTGTTCACCGAATGGATGAATCTAACGTACAAAATTCTGAACCAAAACAAAACAAAAAAATGAAATCAAAATTCTAAAATTCCGAACGAACTAATATTTCTAACGAATGAGAGTTTTTAACGAAAACAACATAACTAAAAGATTCANTCAACGTTCGGAGCTTCACGTGACTCGGTAGATACTCCAGGTTCTATCGAATTCAAATGGGAATTGACGTTCATGCCAATCATCCCTCGTAGTCCAACAAGTTCTCCAATCGTTGAGCGTGTGATTTCGTACAAAATTCAAATACAAACAAAATAATCAGTCATACAAAATTAACTCTAAAAAAAATGACTCTCGTTGAATGGTAGGTTTGACTTCAAGTCTGGTGGCAACCAATCTAAAACCCCAAAAACCACGCGAAGGTCTACAAAACCATGAAATGATTTGTAATGAAAATAACACGTTACAATATAGAACAAAAGGTTAATTTTTTGTTCTGTTTTGATTATAGAAAATGATTCTTTTTAAATTTTTAATACTGATGGTAATGTGGAATTATGTGTCCACTGTAATTGGATATGACTGCGGTAGTAATACTCTTAATGTTACTACACTTTCGTTTCTCGATATTGATGATTGCGACATCGAGGAAGAAGAAATTGCAACAACTAGAAGAAATATTTATTTGTTGCAATTAGATAATGATAGATTATGCAGGATTGGGACACAATAAATTAACACACTGTATTAACTCGTCATGATTTATTCAATAAAGCACGTCACTCGTCTCGCGTCTAGCGTCCAACATGTCTCGTACAGGAATGCATCGCACACACGCCGCAACCGGCCTGGGACGAGATCTGCGCATGCGCACGATCTCGTTCCCCTCTTAACTTACACAGATATGTCTTATACTATAGATAATGTTGTATTAGGACCAGCAGCTGGAGCCATATTCGTACAGTTTAAATAAGTCGTACAGTTTACTATTGCGGCATAAACTCCTATGTCTCAATAGTGGACAACGCACATATGGAATATATGCATTTCATCTCAGAAGATGCATGCTTGGTTGCCCATAACTATGGCACTGTCCAAATCGGAAGGACTCTGACTGATGGACTTCAACCCAATAGTGGAAATAATAAGTTATTAAAAGGAAATTAATTAGTTGTTAATGAGAGAGCATACGCTCTCGTTCTTCTAGCAATTAGCTTGGGAGATTTGTAAATATTACTAAGTTAACCCGGATTTGGTGGAGCGTTGAACAGAGAAGCAGAATAGAGCACCAGCAAAGGCATTTCAGTGGAAGGAAACCCGGAGTTCTATGGATTTGCCTGAGAAGAGTTGGAATCGCCTGGAGAGCATTCCGAGGGGTTATCCAGGATCTAAGTGCTAAGATTGAAGCCCTAGATCCGAGAAGAGACTCAAGATTATTCCCTTAACCCTGAGGAGTAACCACAGCTAGAGAAAAGCTCCAGAGACCTGATCGAATAAGTCGAAAACAAACGACTCATATGGCCCACTGTTGTGACAGGTGGGCTTATGTACGACAAGATGGACGAGGACTTCCCAAGTATTCGGAAGGGCCCGGAGTTTGACTAGAGGATTGTGTCAGAGTACTGGAGTGGACCTTGAAGGCCCTGCGATGGCTTAAGCAGTGGGAACTGCTTAATTAAATGAAACCAGGCTCCTGTCGAAAACACTGGCTCGAGCATTAATTGGCGAGTGTGGATCGATAAAGAGGATATCGACCCCACTATCAGAGTTCAACAAACTTTTTCCTTGACCGTCGAGATGTGCTAATCGACCCTGATTGAGGGTGAATTGGGGAGAAATGAAGGGAGCAATAAAAAGATACTCTCCGTTGGCGGAAATAATAGAAGGATGGCTCGGATTGGTGGGAAATAATATAGAGGAGAAGAACTCACCCCGGAGAGACAACAAAGCCCGGATATTCTTCACTCTGCGTGACGACTGACAACTGACAACAACTTTTTAGTGAACTTTAAGACTTAGATTGATTAGTAGACATTTAAGTAGTTTATTAAGTAAGGAAAATTATCATAATCACTGTCTGAGGAGTGATTCCAACCGGAGAAACCAAGGAGCCCGGAATAACGAGGGAAATCGTGAAAAGCCGATTTCATTCGTGTTAGCATTCACCACTGTGAGTACACTTTTGCAATAACGCAGTGGCAGGAGGTCTTTTTGAGTGCAAATATCGTACACACCGAGGTACGATCGAACAGAAATTAATTAGGATATCATAGTAAATGATTGAGAGTGTTGTTTTCCCCGGATTGATTAAAGAAAAGAATAATTAATTATTGGGAAAATCCGTGGGAAATCCGTAGCGTCACTGACTTCCCACAGTGCCGCCATTTTTGGCCATTTTGGCGAATCGAAGGGAAATTGAAATTAATTTAATTTCATCATTAAATATCAGAACAATCGCTGGCGAGGTAGCAGTACTAGATATCCCGGAAATTATATAAAATTATAGGGAATTTTATAACGGGAATATTTTTGGACTTTAAAGTTATTTTGAATTATATTTTTGCTAATTAGAGAACTGGAAAAATTGGCGTCGTGTTTTGGAGTGGAAACGTGGTGTTTTGAGGGACGCCTCAAACACACAACCAGTTGTATTTTCTTTCATTGAATATTTTTCATTAATATTTCTTTTGGGTTTATTATTAATTTAGTTTCACACTAATATTTTATGGTAAAAGGCCAGAACAAGAATTTATGTTTATTGAATAAATAGTATTGTCTTTTGTTAATTAGAAAACATCTCTTTTGATTTATCTGGCCAGAAATAATAGAAA